AGGTTGTTGTTTTATTTTGTTTTGATATTTCTGTAGTTCATTATTTTTTTATACATTATTTTATTTCAGTTAATGCTTATTTTATTTTAGGTATTTTTATTTTTTATGGTTTTGGTTTTAGTTTTAGATAACAATAATAACCCTGCTGATAATGTCAAAATTAAAGCTAATTCTAAATATTAATAAATACTATAATATCATCTGATGCTCACGGGCAGGTTTTTCTGTCTTGTGCTGACATTGATTTGCTGGTTGTGTGTCAGTGATGCAGGTGAATGACGAGCTTCTGCACCGTTTGACCAGCGGGAAGAATCTGTCTCCTCGTCTGGTGATTCCTCGTTCAGCAGAGACGTCCATCCCGCTGGACTACAGCTCGCCGCCCGCAGAGGTGGAGAACTGGCTGCGCAAGAAAGGCTTCAGTGAACCGTGAGTCTCACACAGGAGATGTCGGAGGATTTCGATATAAACCAAGAAGAGAGACTGGTGTTCCTTTGCTAAAGTAAGGAAACTTTGCTTCCTTTGCTCCTATTTCTTACAAAAACACATGGATTCACAACAGGGGGCCTTTATTCATCCCCCGGAGCCGTCTGCGGCATGTTTTATTTGTTTATTTGTAATTTTACAATTTTTAATATAACTCCGACAGGATTCGTCTGAAAGAAGAAAGTCATATACACCTAGGATGCCTCGGGGGTGAGTAAAACACAAGCTAATTTAAATTTTGGGGTGAACTAACCCTTTAAACTAAAATGAAAATCAAAATATTTAATTTGCATGTTTTTGTCATTTTTATTTTTTAAACATGTCTATATAGCTATTAACTTTCAGTTTTAGTTTACTTAGTTATTTTAATACTTCAACTTAAACTAAATAAAAGTACAATTCAGTTAATGATTTTTTAATGAGTTAATGAATATATATATTTTCATGGTTTTGGTTTTAGTTTTATTTAACAATAATAATCCAGCTGAAAATATTAAAATAATGATTATGGAATCATTCAAACTCTACCTCTAAAAGAAAAGTTTTAAAATAATAATAATAATAAAAAAACAAACCTAAATTTATATATATATATATATGTATATATCATTTTTTTAACTCCCTGAATGTAAAAGTCCCTGAATAATTTTCCCAAACTTAATACTTCCTAATGTGATTTTAGTATCATTGATATTTTGTTAATGTTTTGAATTAATTTTATTTTTATTTTCAGTTTTCATTTTTTTTGTTTTAGTTTACATTTTTTTAATTCTGTCATTTATATTATATATATATATATATATAATATTTATGCATTTTTATTTACTAGTTTTAGGTTGTTGCCATCCCGCTGGACTACAGCTCGCCGCCCGCAGAGGTGGAGAACTGGCTGCGCAAGAAAGGCTTCAGTGAACCGTGAGTCTCACACAGGACACACTTTACAACAGCAATCGGTCAGCTATTAATAATAATACTCCACCTGTAACACCTCACATCACTGACAACGGGAGAAACCACATCCACATTCATTTAGTATGATTTTCTATAGTATGATTAACATGATACATTTTTTCTCTTAGTTTCAGTCCACATTTATGTGATCATAGCTTGTAGCCACTGTTTTGAGGCACATATATAATGAAGTAATAGCTGTGGTCAGTGAATGGCTGTTGTTGGTGTGTGTGCAGGACTGTACAGTGTCTGCGGGTTCTGAATGGAGCTCAGCTGTTCTCTCTGAATAAAGAAGAGCTGCGCGCTGTTATTCCTGAAGAGGGCGCTAGAGTCTACAGTCAGCTGACCGTACAGAGAGCCCAGATAGAGGTACATCACACACAGAAATGGCTAAGCTATCATATTTCATATTTTAAAACATTGACAAATGATCAGAAAGTTTCTCACTTTAATATTTGAAAATAGCTGCCACTATACAGTATAAACTGCACAGCCTGAAACACTGGATCACTCTGCAAAGCAATGCTATAACAACCTGTTTAAAATGTTTAACATTGCAGCGTAAGATGTGTTAGTCTCGTGGTCGTTTTCATTCAACATGCATGGAAACCCAGATTAATATCCCGACTTAATATGCAATAATCAATCTATCAAGCAATTTCATCTTGACAGCCATGCATTTCCCACACATACAGCTGCTAACCGTCTGTCTCTCTGTCTCTCAGGACGCTCGCAGAGCCACAGAGCTGGAGACGGTGATGGAGAAGCAGAAGATGAAGGTGGATTTGAAACTGGAGAGTGGGACTTTATGAAGATCTATTGAATGTGCACACAGATGCACACTCATACATACGCACAAGATCATTTACGTTATTGTAACCTGCTTTAAGGATTGTTTTGTTTTCCTGTTTATCTTTACAGCATGAAATGAAAATGTAAATCTGCACAATGATGTACAAACCTCTAAATTCTCTGTGTAACATGGGTTAATATATTCTCAATAAATACATTTAATGCACAACCGTGAAAATAGCAAATCCTCTGTCTCCTCAAGAGGGCACCAGACACCAATTAACTAACTAACCGCTCCAAAAGCTCACTAAAGTATAGCAGATTAATAACTCTTCTAGGATTTGAACCTGGAACCTTTAGGTTACCAGCCAGGTCTTTATCCAGAGCTAAAAATACACTAAAAGAAACGTTGAGGACTCAAGATATTAAAGGTCCATCAATCTCAACATGCACTTTGACAAAAACAGCAATAGTAATAGTAATGCTTAACTAATGACATTAATGTAAGTCACAAAGCCTAACCAGTTTATCTTAGCCAAAGCAAATGCAAGTATTGCTCTATTGCTTGGTCAGCTAAACTACAAATTTACTTTCATAGTTCCAACATAACCCAAAAACAATTTAAGACAGAAAATACTGGCTCACTAATATAACAAAAGTCTTTACATACGCTCAGATAAACTAATATCTGCTGCTGTCTATGGCGGGGTGACTAAAATGATGTAAAATAACAATTAACGGCGATAAAATACGAAAACTTATTTTATTTCAGCTAGAACATTTCTAATTGTCATGCAACTTAACTTGATGTACAGTATATACACTAAAAGGTAACTTACTCTTTTATAAGTATATAGTACATTCAGTCTTGCCTAGTTCCCGTACTGAACACATACATCAAGATTTGATATGCTCTGTGTGTGTGTGTACTGGTTTATATATCCTGGTGGGGACTTAAACCTGACTACACACAGACTCATGGGGACTCGTGTCATGGTGGGGACCTAAATTGTGGTCCCCACGGGTACAAAAGCTTATAAATCATACAGAATGAAGTTTTTTGAAAATCTAAAAATGCAGAAAGTTTCCTGTGAGGGGTAGGTTTAGGGGTAGGGTTGGTGTAGGGCAATAGAATATATGGTCTGTACAGTAGAAAAACCATTACGCCTATGGAGAGTCCCCACAAGGATAGCTGACCAGACATGTGTGTGTGTGTGTGTTAATTTGGCTGTGAGCAGCAGCAGCTCAGGTGTCAGGTGTGTGAGGTGAGGAATGTGTGTTTATATGTTTGATTAAACCAGCTGTGTGTGTTTGTGTGCGAGATTCATCAGCTAATTAAACCCATATTATGATTTCACACGCACTGAACCTGTACAAACATGAGTTTGATGCTTTAGGCCCGAAACTCTCTACTGTATGTACGTGAAAGAGAGCTGTCCGTTAGTATTCGCTCATCTCAATGGCAGTGGCGATGAAGCGAAACCTAAATCTAACCAGCCTAACCTTGACTTGGATTTTACATCATTGCTTTCTGAATAGATTCAGAATAGATTCAGAAACAGCTTTCTGAATAGATTCGTAATGCAATGCAGTCAGCTAGCTAACCCGAATGTAAACATAAAATCTTAAATGTTGCTCCGTCATGACAGTCATTAAAGCTGGCTGCACACTAGACGAATCTTAAAGGGGTCCTATTATGCTTTTTCACTTTTTGAATTTTAGTCAGTGTGTAGTGTGTATGTTTGGGCATAAAAAAGATCTTCAAACTTACAAATCTCAAAGTCCACTCCAAAGGGAGATATTTTGTTTTTTAAAAATCCCTTTTCAAGAACTACAACGAACGGCTCGTTTGGACTACAGCATTAGTAACCCTTCAGACCTTGATTAGCTTGTTCAGGTGTGTTTGATTAGGCTTGAAGCAAAACTCTGCAGGGCTGCGGCTCTCCAAGACTGACGTTCGCCACCCCTGTAATAGGCTATGTCCCAAAACACACTTCAGGAAACCATTACTTAATTGATGGTTTGTAGTATTTGTAATGGTATTTGTAGTGGAAATCATTCAAATTTCTGTGATGGTTTCTATTGTTTTTGTCAGCAGGGTCACCATGTGTTTTGTGATGTTATTTGCCATAAATGCGATAGGATTGCTGTAATATTGTGAGATAGTAGCGACTGTTTGTAGTTGTGGTGGGTCTATTTGGGAGAAAATCCAGGGCTGTTTTTTACTCCCAGTCCGTCCCTGAATATGGGTGATGTATTCTGCTTTCGCTGCATTTTTGTGGCTGCCAAGTTTCAGCTATAGAAGCACGCAACATCCAGTAAGTGACGCTTGCTCGCTCTCATTGGCTATCGTGGGTATCACGTCAGAGGCAGCCAGATCAAGAGTCGTAAATATCAAACATGCTTGATATTTACGATTTGAGTTCGGCGACGCTCCGTCTCGATCGGGAGCAGTTAAATAACCGTAATGACAGCACACAATAGAGGATTTTTTGGACAAAAAATCGCTTGCGATAAGCCGTGAATTGGGCCACACCCCCCGATTTGTACGGGGGTGCAAATCGGGCTTAAAATCGGCCTTAAAATCCTCTAGTGTGTGGCCAGCCTTATGCCTGGTTCAGACTACACGACTTTAGCCCGATTGTGTCATGATTTGCTTGACGTAGGGTGTCGTGGGGATTCGTAAACGACAATGGGCGTCGGGACGCAAGATTCCATCGTTTCAGCTCGTGTAG